CTTTTCTCGTGTCAGCCCTACTACCCGCATCATCATCTAACGCTCTTAAACCTAGAATCCGAGAACACAGTTTGATGTTAGAAGCAGTGTGCAGGGAATATGTCAGGAGTGGCAGTGCCCTCATGATCACGGGCGAGAATCTTCCGACCTCCAGCACTACTTCTTCACATGATGAACAACTATTAACTATAATGGATAACAATCTTATCGTATACAAAGAGTGTTCTTGAAAACTGATTTCGGTGTCCTTTTTCATGATTAAGTTGATAGGCACAAGCATTTAATTAAGCAATATAATCGTCGATTCATATGTGCAACGGCAGAATATCTTTTTATGAATTTGTTCATGTTCACAGTCGTCTTCAGATATGAATATTATGACAAAACGAGGCTCAGTCACGCGGAGCTTCTTCGAGTTCTTCGATGTTGAGAATGTGATGATCTTCTTGTTCACGATGTAATAAAATAATATTATCTTTATGAATACTTAAATCTAGACGTGGATGGGATACAGAAAGTGGTATAGATTGCTACTCACGGCCTGTTAGGCGTCAAACTACGCTTGGTCTGTCTTTGTAATATGCTCATTCTGTGGTCTTTGTATGCTCATGATTCGCTATTGTTAAACCAGGTCTAGTTCTTGGAATCCTCATTGTCACAATACTTTGAGGCGTTCATTGCATGTCGTTTCTATGGATGAAGGTTGTTGTGCATGACGAGATCCATTGATTTGTAATACCGGACCCCCAGAACTACAGGTCACTTGTCCTTGGAGGCAGGAGCTAACTACTAGTTGAATGATATTCATGTTGAACAGAGCTGATTTTGTCGACTCATCTTCTACTACTAGATTACTCCTTACCTACTTCATAAATTTCATACTTCCTCTCAGATTACAACATCCCGGTGCACCAGACGGCGCCCCCTCCACTTTTTCCTCGATCTTCTGCTGTGTTGCACGCTGCTTCTGCGGCTGCTGAAGTTCCAGCGCCTCACCTTTAGGTTCCTGCAGAAGCTGCTTCGCCTCCTGTTAGAAATACCACGATGGCATTCACCACCCCGGGAGCATTCTTGGCTTCTTTTTCAAGAAGGAAAGAGCCAAGGATAACACTGAGGTGCTGAAACGGTAGCCTTAAGGAGGCTGCACTTCCGCGTGTTCTTCCGCCGCTCGCGCCGTAGAAGACTCCACCTCTTCGGCCTGGCCATAAAAATCATGTTGTCTCATGACAGTGAGTGCCATATATTATTATCTTTTACACGTCGACTTATTAAAGACTAAGAAATAGTGATAAAACCCAATCTATGTTTTACTACAATGAACAATAGTAGAAGACGCGCGCAACCACAGTACGCTTTTGGGTAAGGAACGAATACCGACAACGAGGACCTACCATAGTATGTATAATTGTAAGTACGAAAATGCAATACCCTCCTCACCTCCAGGTTTTGCGCGGCCAAAAACTTCCTTTGCTCCCGTTTCGCTTTACTTCTACAAGTATTCTTAGAGGTAGACCACAAAACTTAAAATTCTTGACTGTGATTGACTTCCTCAAAACATGATGCTAGAAAGGGAACAATGAATCAAGAATACACAGTGAATGTTATTTACATGTAGACTTACATGCTGGGTTGTCTGTGACATAAACCAATCTATGTTTAAAGTTGCAAATCGTACAACTCCTGTCTTCCACCACCTACTCCACCTCTCGCTACCCCATGAGTTATTATGGAGAAAGTCCTTAATTTGTAGCTCTTTTTCTAGCGCTTTGTTGCCCTCCAGCATTTTGTGTTTTTTTTGCTTCATTGATACGAGGAGTCGCCGACTGTCGAAGTCCTTGGTTTCCCCTACCAGAAGGTCAAAAGCCTTTACTTTCTCATGTAGTTGCTCGGGTGTGGTTTGTTGGAAATATCCCGCATGTTTCATCAGTCAGGGATCTTCTCTCAATGAAGATACTCATTGTTCTCTGTAGTACGAGGTTGAGAGAACAAGATCAAGACTCATTCCCATGTAGTTACTTAATATAGAGATGAGCTAGCGGTAGCCGTAAAGTGATTCTTCCTTCTTGAGCAGCTCCGCCTCGGCCACCGCGTGCGCCAGCCGCGCATCGAGAACGGTGTGCCCGTCTACCATCTGCTTTACGTTCTCCTCAAGCGCCAAATCCTGTTCATCAGACTCGACTTGATTCCCTCGCCGCTCACCCTCGCAGTTCCTATTAGAGCCTACTGCTCAAAAGTTAAGAAAGTTGCTTAAGATGATGAAGAGAATAAAAGTACTATATCCCAGTGAGGCAGAGGTACGAAAAAAATTAATAAAAGAATAAGTTCGGTAAGGTTCAGGAAGGAGCCAATCAATCAAAGGTGTTCAGAAATGAAGTTGTCCTTGTCATTGCAATTATATTAACTTTACCTGAAAACTAAAGCAAACTTGTGTTCAATGGTTGTTGTAGTTGTTACGGTCCTTTTTTTGTTAACAAATTGATTCACTTGTAGGTTGAATAGTCCTGCTCTACAGTGAAACAGTTACAATTAGTTAAGATTTCCTTAAGATCCCAGGAAGGAGAGAATCAATCAATAATTCAAACTCAGAGAGTGAAACTGTGACTCTTGCCCCCCCTTCTCCCTTTGCTATCGTATGTTGAGTTATAAACCTGTTAATAGCACAGTCAGGGTCCAACTAGAAAGAAGAGATGAAACCACAAGCGAGGAAAAACATAAACATGCATTTTCTCTGCAGGGTCGACGAGGTCAACATTTCTCAAAAAATTATAGATAGAGACTCCCTAATGCTCAGATCCTTTTTCAAGCTTTTTTGCGCCTCCTTCAATTCCGACAGTTCCTGCTTCTCATCGGTTAGTTTTTTCGAAAAGGTCCAATTTCTCAATTTCCAATCTTTTAGCGAACTCAATGTATCCGATAGCTGGGTCTGTTAGAGCTACTCCACCTAGTCCATCTCTGTGCTGGGAATCACATCCCCTCAAAGAAGATACTGCTCATCTGTTGTAGTACACGCTTCTTGAGGGACCCCTATAAATATGTAGGGACGGACTAGCGGTAGCCTTAAGTCAACATCTCATCCTTCGTCTTGGTCGTCCTCGGCTTTAGTACCTGTGTCTTCTTCTTCATCAAAGTAAGGTATTGAAAGTCTAGAGTTGGAGACAATACTCTCTATCTCGTCTATTCCGATAAGAAGCTACAGAAAATCTTCTAAAGAACTACAAAGAATGTCATCATGCCATGACCCAAAACGTATCAAAGTGATGACATATTATCAGTAAAAAAAGCTACAAGGGTATCTAGATAAGTAGATGAGCAGGTCGCATCAGTGCACTAGTGCAACAACATCAAAAAGCAAAAGCGGGATAACCTGTGACGCCGTCGACCCCTGACCACGCTCGTTTTGGTTCTTCGTCGCAATTCGCTGCCGTTCAATGGACATATGCTCAGCTGTGGAAAAATGTGTTTTAATTTATTTGACAGCGATGGGGATATAAGTCTACTTCCTCGTCGAAATAGAAGGAGGCGACGACGATGGTGAAAGCGACACCGTATTGCCATGAGGCGCCCACGCTAGCTACCGACTTCTGCATGCATCGATCGAGCGGTCAGAGGGCGCGCGGAAACTAACACCCAAGGCATGCCGGCTAGAATTGCGCGCCGTTTGCCATGTGTCATACCAACTATACGCGGGCGCCCCCCTGCCCACGACGACGCGCAACGCACTCCCCACGCACTTCAGACACGCCACACTGACTCGTCCGACTGAGGAAGCGCCTGAGAATCCCAAGCCCAAACCCAATATCTAAAAAGCCCCAGCCCCTGTTCCGTAGCCTACACACAAGCCACCGAGATGAAGGCGCGTCGTTCTGCAGCTTACACGCAAACGACCCAAGAGAACCAGCGAAAGCCAGCGAACAAAGGAGGCGAAAAGCCGAAAAATTGCAGCCGCATCCCCATGCGCAGCGCCTCAGTAAGCTGCCGACGAAACTCCCACAGACAGACCTGGCCAGCGCGATGCGGTCACGCTGGACTCATGGGGAGAAGGCACACGGACAGAAAAAACCAGCAGCCAGACCCCCACTCGCCGGAACCAAACTCATTGGCGGCGACACTTCCGCAGACCTGGCCACCGCCCTTCCGTCAGGATTCATCGGCAGCAAGCGAAGCACCCGACTGCCGTCGGAGCGGAAAGACATGGCAGGCGCGTGAAGGCAGAGCCCTTTTGCGGTGGAGACACAACACACAACCAAAAACCAACCAAAACACCCGGACACGGTTCCGACTTTCCTGCAGTTTTTGGCGGCATTTGGGCGGCGCCGTCTTTTGCAGGTTTTTGGACTCCTTCCACCCAAATGCGGTGGCGGCTCTGCGGGACTTTTCTGAGTGCGGTCAGCGCAGTCAGTAGTAGGCGAATCCTTCTCCGCGCGCGCGTGGCGGATTTCCCTGGTCATCAGTGAAGAGAAGTAGCAACTGCGGCTAGTACAATCTTGAGTGAAGATACAACGAGGTGGGAATCCAAATCGGCGGGAGATCATCTCTATTTGTATAAGCAACACGCTACAAAGTGACTTGCGCTGAGAGTGTCTGTGTGTGTGTCTGATTAGATGCGGAAGTATTTCTATGAAGAGAAGCTGCGAGGCGATCAAGAGTGAGACACTATGTATATATAATGATGATAAGAAAGAAAATACCTCCCGCATGATATGCTGCACTAGTAAGTATGCTCTTGATACAAAAAAGTCGCAGTAGGGAGATAGATTTAGATCGTCAGGAATCATCTACTTACTTTAGAAACACGACTCATCTACAAAAACAAAGTGATTTCTTTGTTTAAGAGTGTCTGCTTACACCTTGAAAATAGAAGAAATAAGTAGTAGATAGTATGAACAAAAGTTGCGAGACGATCAAGTACCTTCGGCCGTATTATCACGGCCAGGGCCAAAGCTGCGAGGCCGCCCCTCAGCCGATTTTTTCTGCTTCTGCTCGTGCCGAAGGGAAGCTACTTCCGGCATGCTCGAGAGGAAGGCCACCCCGGTCGAGAACCATCCGCGATGCGAGCGGCAGCATCGCTTACCGCTGTTGTGGCGTCTTGCTGTCTGTTTCGGCTGAAGCGTTGTCCGCTCCACAGAGTTCGAAGACAGAAGTTAGAGCTCACATCACTCCATGATGCTCATTATGTTGTGAAATAGAGGTTCGATTTCGAAAGTAAACAGGTTAAGCAAGTGAACTTAGTTAATTACGACAAGAATTATCAACGGGATATGTCGGTGGGGATTGACATTGATGTTCATAATCTTCATCTCAATCTTTATTATAGACCTCCTGTGAATGTGCAGCTACTTGTTGGAGGCCTTGTTGGGAAAACAAAGGGCGACTGCAATCGTGGACCTGCATGTTTTACTCTTGAGTTAAACTACACACCGGACGGCTTATCTAATAGAAGATGGATCTGTATGTGTATCAGTGCTGAGGTATAAAATTTTATAACGAAGCCACGCCTTAAGTTGGTTGCAGCTGGCGCTCCTGGACGCGTTTTTTGTTTTGGTTCTTCCTCTTCTTGTTGTTCGCGTTCGAGGAGTTTTTATTCTTCGTGTTGGTCTTTCTCTTCGTCATCTTGTCTTCGTTCTCGCAAGACGAAAATGGCCTGAAGATCGCACTCCACCTGCTCCGACTAGAAGGTCATAAATATAAGAACTGTTCTTCTCAGGAGATAGACAACGCTACCAAGCACTAGAAGCTCCTGGTCCTGCAAGAGAACACTGAGATAAATAGATTCTGGATTTTTGTACGTACTACTTACTAATTCTACTTACTCCTCCTTCCTAAAACTTTATTGGTGTTCTGGAAGGCTTTTTAGTAAGCAAGATAATCATGCGCTTTTTCAGTAAACAAGGAGTATAATCAGTGAATAACAGATGCTTGTCTTGTCATACTTCTTAAACAACTGACTGGGAAAGCTTGGAGGTGAGGAGAGGACTTTGTGGAGGTCATCAGATGGGAGAATTGGAACCGAGCGCGATCATGCCAACAAATAGGCACGACGAGAGGGCCAGGGGCATCACCGTGAGCCTGAGCGCCCTCTGCAGTGATATCTTCCGGTGCCACTTATCCTAGAGCCACTAGGACAAGTGTAAGCACCTCCCTCGTCTGACTAGGACACGAGCCGCAACACTACACCAGATCTTTTCTTCTTTTGCTTGGTGAACACTGATTTCTTTGCATCACTCGTTTTTATTTCTCTCGTTCTTTTATCACTCGTGTTTTGCAGTCATCCAATTCTTTATAGTATCTATATCTTCCGATCTAGTACGCCAAGAAAGAGTCGTGAGTGGGTGATTGATTCAGTGGGTATATGAATGAGCGTGCCCACGTAGAGTCTCTTGGGCTTCTTTTCTCGTTTTCGGTA